GTAGCCCACAATCAAGAACATGTACTACCTCTGTATGATCTAACCATGCTTAACTCAACAGTGAGTTCTGTACACTGATATCAGATCACTATAAGGTATAGCCCACAGTTCAAGAACATATACTACCTCTGTATGATCTAACCATGCTTAACTCAGCAGTGAGTTCTGCACAACATCAGATCACTTTAAGGTAGCCCACATTCAAGAACATGTACTACCTCTGTATGATCTAACCATGCTTAACTCAGCAGTGAGTTTTTGTGCAACGTTCAGCGGAAACTGATTGTTTTTGAGCAACTTTCTGCATAATGATTACTGAACAGTTGAATACTTTGATATATCTGCCTATCCTGCATGATCGGCTTCCAGTCTAAGCTACATTTTATGTACTATTTAAAACACGAGCAGGAGTGCTTTATCAGGTATAAAACACGAGGGGACAGCCGAGTGTTTTATATCTGATAAAGCACGGACATGAGTTCATTGGCGAAGTAATTTTAAAAATAAACGTTGTCAAACCGAGAAAATCAAAGCTAAAGTTTATGTAAATTACCGTGATTTTTATCACATATAACAGTAGTGAATTCCTTTGTCTTAGTTCACCTGCGATAGGAATTCTACTCCGAATTGGATTCATACAATTTATTGTAAGAGAAAAAGTCGGGTAGTGGCAAAGTTCCTGTCCCTGCCTGATTAGGAAATTTACATCTGCGTGCAGAAAGTGTTATTTATTTAGCACAATCTGCGCGGAAATGTCGGAACAGTTACCAACTGTCGGAACAGTTAACAAATATTTCAAACACACGTCGAATACGACACGCCATACTGTGTTTGCACTAGCCCTGTCAGTTGTCAACTAGTCTCGCTATATAGAGGTCCGGTATAAGGGGTATATCTGTCTTGGTCTCTTTTTACTACAAAAATAAATCTAAATTCTTAACTGTTCTCCCTAGAGGTCCAGCAAGGATCATCTCTTATTGATCCAGTGTTACTACAGGAGGAAACTTAAACTAAACTAACTTTATTTATACTGGATGGCATCAATTCTAAACTGGTCTCTCTAACTACAGGAGGAAACCTAAACTAAACTAACTTTATTTATACTGGATAGCACTATTAGTTCTAAACTGTTCTCTCTAACTACTGGAGGAAACTCAGGAAACCGAAACTAAACCAACTATATAATGCATGGATAGCTCTATCAGTTCTAAACTGTTCTTCCTAGATGTCCAGAAAGGATCATCTCTTATTGATCCAGTGTTACTACAGGAGGAAACTTAAACTAAACTAACTTTATTTATACTGGATGGCATCAATTCTAAACTGGTTTCTCTAACTACAGGAGGAAACCTAAACTAAACTAACTTTATTTATACTGGATAGCACTATTAGTTCTAAACTGTTCTCTCTAACTACTGGAGGAAACTCAGGAAACCGAAACTAAACCAACTATATAATGCATGGATAGCTCTATCAGTTCTAAACTGTTCTTCCTAGATGTCCAGAAAGGATCATCTCTTATTGATCCAGTGTTACTACAGGAGGAAACTTGAACTAAACTAACTTTATTTATACTGGATGGCATCAATTCTAAACTGGTCTCTCTAACTACAGGAGGAAACCTAAACTAAACTAACTTTATTTATACTGGATAGCACTATTAGTTCTAAACTGTTCTCTCTAACTACTGGAGGAAACTCAGGAAACCGAAACTAAACCAACTATATAATGCATGGATAGCTCTATCAGTTCTAAACTGTTCTTCCTAGATGTCCAGAAAGGATCATCTCTTATTGATCCAGTGTTACTACAGGAGGAAACCTAAACTAAACTAACTTTATTTGTACTGGATAGCTCTGTCAGTTCTAAACTGTTCTCTCTAGAGGTCTAGTGAAGATGATCTCTTATTGATCCAGTGTTACTGCAGGAGTAAACCTAAACTAAACCAACTTTATTTATACTGGATAACTCTATAAGTTCTAAGCTGTTCTCCATAGAGGTCCAGTAAGGAGATATCTTTTTCAGGTAGTTCAGACACAAACCACGGCAGCTTATTGTAGAATGCTACCTACACTGGGCCAAGTAGTTGAGAACACCATATATACTCGACACCCATGCACGTTCGAAAAATTAAAAAGATTTCTTACACTTTTCTCATAAACAGGGGTTTGGCAACTATACTGGTCTACCTTTTACGTGACTGGAAAACACCGGAAAATGTTCATTTGTTCTATGTATGTGTGTACAACGTTTGGCAGACAAAAAGGTTAGTCAAAAGTTGAACTCATCGAGATACGTTAGGTGGCTTTCTTGCAGTACAAAATTCCCACAGGAATACAGATGCCCATCGTGCCTCTGACTATTTTAGGGTAATGTGATTAGTTTTTGAGTGGTTTGCCGTTAGCGATGCTTGTTGTAGTAAACAGTACATGCCATTGACATGCATTAAAATATTGATGATTGATCGTATTATATTATTTTATCTCCAATAATTTGTTCCCACAAAATCTGTCCAGATAATTTAAGCACAGCCCACATTGAAGAACATGTAATACATCTCATGTATGATCTAAACATATCATGCAGTGAGTTCTGTACAACGTCAGATCACTACATTCAGGAACATGTACTACTTCTGTATGATAATGCTTAACTCAGTAGTGAGTTCTGTCAGTACAACATCAGATCACTATAAGGTAGCCCACATTCAGGAACATGTACTACCTCTACATGATCTAACCATGTTTAACTCAGCAGTGAGTTCTGTGACAACATCAGATCACATTATCACATTATTAGACTCTGGGCTCTGCTCTTTATCTTTAAACATCAGATCACTTTAAGGTAGCCTACATTCAAGAACATGTACTATTCCTGTATGATCATGCTTAACTCAGCAGTGAGTTCTGTACAACATCAGATCACTTTAAGGTAGCCTACATTCAAGAACGTGTACTATACCTCTGTATGATCTAACCATGTTTAACTCAGTAGTGAGTGAGTTCTGTACAACATCAGATCACTCTAAGGTAGCCCACATTCAATAACATGTACTACCTCTATATATGATCTAACCATGCTTAACTCAGGAGTGAGTTCTGTACAACATCAGATCACTCTAAGGTAGCCCACATTCAATAACATGTACTACCTCTATATATGATCTAACCATGCTTAACTCAGGAGTGAGTTCTGCACAACATCAGATCACTCTAACTGAGGTAGCCCACATTCAAGAACATGTACTACCTCTATATATGATCTAACCATGCTTAACTCAGGAGTGAGTTCTGTACAACATCAGATCACTCTAAGGTAGCCCACATTCAAGAACATGTACTACCTCTATATATAATCTATATGACCATGCTTAACTCAGGAGTGAGTTCTGTACAACATCAGATCACTCTAAGGTAGCCCACATTCAAGAACATGTACTACCTCTATATATGATCTATATAACCATGCTTAACTCAGGAGTGAGTTCTGTACAATATCAGATCACTCTAAGGTAGCCCACATTCAATAACATGTACTACCTCTATATATGACCTAACCATGCTTAACTTAGCAGTGAGTTCTGTACAACATCACTAGATCATTTTAAGGTAGCCCACAATCAAGAACATGTACTACTACCTCTGTATATGATCTGACCATGCTTAACTCAGCAGTGAGTTCTGTACAACATCAGATCACTATAAGGTAGCCCACAGTTCAAGAACATGTACTACCTCTGTATGATCTAACCATGCTTAACTCAGCAGTGAGTTCTGTACAACATCAGATCACTATAAGGTATATAGCCCACAGTTCAAGAACATGTACTACCTCTGTATGATCTAACCATGCTTAACTCAGCAGTGAGTTCTGTACAACATCAGATCACTATAAGGTATATAGCCCACAGTTCAAGAACATGTACTACCTCTGTATGATCTAACCATGCTTAACTCAGCAGTGAGTTCTGTACAACATCAGATCACTATAAGGTATATAGCCCACAGTTCAAGAACATGTACTACCTCTGTATGATCTAACCATGCTTAACTCAGCAGTGAGTTCTGTACAACATCAGATCACTATAAGGTATATAGCCCACAGTTCAAGAACATGTACTACCTCTGTATGATCTAACCATGCTTAACTCAGCAGTGAGTTCTGTACAACATCAGATCACTATAAGGTATATAGCCCACAGTTCAAGAACATGTACTACCTCTGTATGATCTAACCATGCTTAACTCAGCAGTGAGTTTTTGTGCAACGTTCAGCGGAAACTGATTGTTTTTAAGCAACTTTCTGCATAATGATTACTGAACGGTTGAATACTTTGATATATCGGTCTATCCTGCATGATCGGCTTCCAGTCTAAGCTACATTTTATGTACTGTTTAATAAACGAGCAGGAGTGCTTTATCAGGTATAAAACACGATGGGACAGCCGAGTGTTTTATATCTGATAAAGCACGGACATGAGTTCATTGGCGAAGTAATTTTAAAAATAAACGTTGTCAAACCGAGAAAATCAAAGCTAAAGTTTATGTAAATTACCATGATTTTTATCACATATAACAGTAGTGAATTCCTTTGTCTTAGTTCACCTGCGATAGGAATTCTACTCCGAATTGGATTCATACAATTTATTATCAGAGGAAAAGTCGTGTAGTGGCAAAGTTCCTGTCCCTGCCTGATTAGGAAATTTACATCTGCGTGCAGAAAGTGTTATTTATTTAGCACAATCTGCGCGGAAATGTCGGAACAGTTAACAACTGCTTGGAATGCAGCGCGCTTTCATCAAATCATTAGGCAGTTTTAAATACAAACTCCCGTGCCGGACATTAGCATAACTACTTGGGAGGAGCTGACCTCCGGTAAATCCTATTTCGCTGACCTCAGAATGACATTTCGTCAAAACTTTTTTCTTCAAGATTGGTTTAGAAACAAATTTGGCATAGGGTTAGGTTAGGGTAAGGATTAAGGTTAGGGTTAGAGTTGGTGTTTGGAGTAGGGTTAGTGTTAGTAAAACCGTTGCTTTGTTAAGTTTTGTCACTCTGAGGCCAGCGAAATAATCTCTTCCTTGACCTCCGCTAACATATAATGGTTTTGTAATTAACTGAATTGTTTGGGATAATTAATACTGGATAGCGCTGTGTTCTGTTCTAAACTGTTTTTCTTTGCCTATCAAAATTTCTGTGATCACAGTAGGAGTTTTGCATAGGTAAATTCTAAGTTTTGAAGGATTTGTAAGAAATGTTTGAGAGAACTGATTCACTGTTTAACACTGAGTCAGTTAGTTTCCTCAAACATTTCTTACAAATCCTTCAAAACTTAGAATTTACCTATGCAAAATTCCTACTGTGATCACAGAAACTTTGATAGTGTAAACCAGTCTTTATACTGCACGGATAGCACTGCATGTGTTCTGTCTAAAAATCTCAGGCCGTTATATTCAAAATTGTGACTACGTCATGTTATGCAGAATATAGCGTTATCAGGGGGCGGAGGGGTGCAGGTTTTCCTTGGGGTAGTGCATGAGGGAGCCTTACTGCCCACTCTCCTCTGCAGTCTGCAACGCTACTATCCCAACATTACCATTATTTGAGATGGCCGAATCTGTATGTTCGCCGTTCTGTTACGTTTTACATTATATTTTGTTTATAAAGCTTATATCGGCTTTTTATCACGTATACGTGACTGGACAGTCGCTGTAGCACAGTACAGTAAATTTGCTTGTTAAAGGACAGTATATTTGAAAATAGGGCTGTATAACAACCTCGACATGTTTACGTATTTAACTATTTAACCATGATATTTAACTAAAGCATTCTGCATGAGTATTTTCTCTTGAGCTCACAAATCATCAGTGAATCGTTTCACAAGAAATCGACACGCGCTAACAGTAGAAGTTCCGCTATCAATCGCTATTTGATTACAAAGGGTGGGCTGACTACAAAATTTTTGTAATTCGCTATAACTACAGCTACTTCAAAAATATGTAGTCAGCTACAACTACTGCTACTTTTGAACAAAGATAGTTCGCTACTGACTATACAGCTACTGCTTAAAAAATGTAGCGAACTATTTCGCTATTTCGGTAATCTATATATTTTTAGTTTTACTGTATTTGAAGCATCTACTATTAACTCGGGCTGTAATTTAACCTATAACAAATCGACTTACGAGTAGCAACAGACAACAGTAAACACAACGCAACATTTTTGTAAGCACTACAATGTTCAGGAGTGCAAATTGACTATTGAGTATTGATTTTAAGCAAACTGTGTCTCAATATCATGCCATTCTATCAAGTTGCTAACAATGTTAAAAACTGAGTAGCGAATAGCGATTCGAGGCAAAATGTAGTTCGCTATAACTACAGCTACTGTTTTAAAAAAGTAGTCAAAAACTACTGGCTACTTGAAAATTGTAGTTCGCTACAGTAGCGAACTACAACTACTTCGCTACTACCCACCCTTGTATATTTGAATAGCAGGTGGCTGACTTCTATAGGGGGTTGCTAAACACTATGTTAGATCCGTCCCTGAGCGTCGTACAACGCATAGGAAGCCACCAGACCTGTGATCAGACCTACATCAGGGCAATACTGCATATTTTAGTAATAGAACGACATATAGGACCAAGCCATACGGAAATTGTCCATCCTCAATAAATAACACTCCAAACTACTTTCAAATTAATTACGACTGCCGCATGACATGATAATTGCTTATTGTTACTAGAAATAGTTTGTCATATAGAAGTGCTGAAATTCCCGCCGCAGTAAAATAACAAACATGCTTTGCGCTTATGTTCGTGATAAAAATAGTCGCAATGTGGTATTTTTACTTAAAATGTGTTCTTCTGCAAAGCTTACTTATATGGTTTGAAAACCATGCCAGAGGGGATATTGGGAAATTAACTGCATACCTTTGGGATAGCATGTTTTTAAGTAACACAGGGTGTAACAAAAGCAAAACCTTTAGTCGAAATCAAGCTATTGTTGGAATTTGAATGCATAGAGTAAGGGTGTCCCCAAAACTATTGAAATAACTTATTGTTAGAATTTGAATGCCTCAGCACTCTGCTGAACCCACAAGTGTATAAAAGCTTGACATAAGTATAAATTGTATGCATAAATAATCTGTTTGAGAGGCTGCTTTAAATTCCCGAGAGCTGAAAATCGTGCGCTTTACAAAGATATTTTAATTTCTTAATAAATCAATATTTATAATATATGCACCCTATCAATATTTTACACATCTTTGCGTTCAGCTTAGGCAGCGTTTACACTGTACCGTTTTCGTAGCGTTCTCGTATTGTTCGAGAGAACTAGACTATTGTCTTGCGTTCCCTTGAGGATTAAGAACAATACGAGAACGCTACGAAAACGGTACAGTGTAAACGCTGCCTTAGTGTTAGGGCGTTCAAATTCTAACAATACGTTATTTCAATAGTTTGAGTTTTTTTTTTACACCTGTAGACTGAAATAGAAGTGACTCCTATGGATGACAGAGTTATATTTAAAACTTCAATTTGGTTTCGTCCAACCATAGCCTATGGAAGGGAAGATGGCTGTGAAACTCATTAGACTAGCTGGTTAGCCATTTCCCAATCGAGCAGAAGACTGGGTCTAGTCGCTTGTTTCGGGGGGGGGGGAGAAAAAATAGCCATTATGCCAAATATGGCATCTAGGACGTTTTCCTACATTCCTAAAGTTATTTGTGCAGCTTGAAACGCTACAATTATAATAAGGCATCTTTAATATATGTTTAGCTCGCTCACTATAACTTGTTGTCCCTCCAAACATCAACTAGTCCTAGTCCACTGCTCGATTGGGAAATGGCTAATAACAATATAACTCATTATCTATGTTAGTCAACGTTTATTTATAAGTCTGGTCCTTCACCGTCACGTGCGTCTTGTATTTTTGCCAAATCCGCCAATAGCAATATCTCCAATTTACCCTATTGTTCGAGTCACGGATAGGTAACTTTCCTAAAACATTGCTATTGGTTAGTTGGTCAAAAACACAATACACACGTGACGGTGACGGACCAGATTTATGAATAAACGTTGACTAACATAGATAATGAGCAATATTGTTATTCTATAATGAGTTACACAGCCATCTTCCCTTCGATAGGCTATGATCCAACATATGAATTATGTGCTGATTAATTTAACGCAGCTCGTAAAACAGTAAAAACTCGTCGCAGTAAAAAGTCGATTTTTACTCGCACTGACGATATGTACTATAGATAAAACATAAGCAGTCGATCTGTATCTCATATACAAACTCGAGCCGAAGGCGAGAGTTTGTATATCAGATACAGATCGGATGCGAATGTTTTATCGTACTTAAAAAATGACCCATCTTATGAGTTCATTGGCGAAGTAATTTTCAAAATAAACATTCTTTAAGCCGAGAAAATCTTAGCTGAAGTTTATGTAAATCAGGACAAATCTTTATCCGATTTACAAACATTGATTAAACATTCATTTCTTTTGTATTTTCCTCGTGAATTATTAATGAATTTTTTAAGACTAATTAGTAATTTGACAATTTTTATATAGATATGCTCCTTCATTTGATTAGAAGCTATTTTAAATTCCCAGGAGCATCAAATCTTGTGCTAAGCAACAATACCTTGATTTCTATAATCTGACACCAGGGGTGGATCCAGCAAGGTTTTTCTAGGGGGTGCTGGGTGAGTAGCCGAGTGTTTCTTTATAATTCGTTAAGGGGTGGTGGCGTCAAGAGCATTCAAATGAATTGGCTTCCAAACAACTCGAGCACCAAAGGCGCGAGCTCCCTAGGAGGTCCAGACTCCAGGGGTATGCTCCCGGAAAATTTTGAAAATTAGAACCCTAGAAATACCATTTCCTGTGATATGGGTATTGAATTATGAGCTTCAGTTTGACTTCAAAAAAGGAAAAACCTTGGAAATTATGCCATATTTCTGAACTTGATTTTTTACACCCCCCTTGACCAAGGCCAACAGGGGTGTGCACCCCCCTATAAATTCACCCCTGTCTGACACAATAATCAAAGTTTCTGTGATCACAGTAGGAATTTTGCGTCGGTAAATTCTTAGTTTAAAAGGGTTTGTAAGAAATATTTGAGGGAACTGATTCAGTGTTTAACATTAAGTCAGGTTGCTCAAACATTTCTTACAAATCCTTCAAAATTTAGCCGAATTCACCTACGTATGCAAATTCCTACTGTGATCACAGAAACTAGCCGTTTTCACATTAGAAGACGGACAAGTCGTCTAGACGAACAAATCGTCTTTTAGTCGGACAAATCATCAGATGTGAAAACGTGTCGGACAAAATTTTAGACGAACAAGTCGTCTGAATTTGTTCGACTACTTGTCCGTCTGTGAAGACGATTTTTGAGAGACGATTTGTTCGTCTAGACGACTTGTCCGTCTCTAATGTGAATAGGGCTACTGTGATAGTGTAAACCAGGTCTCGTTAAATATGTGTTTAAAAGCAAGGCGTTAGCAGAGACATTTCACACGTTTTGAAGCGCTTTCAAATCATTGTGACAAAGGGCTTCGAGTATGTGATAATTGTACTTCAAATGCACAAGCATTAAATGTAATTATAGACTATTCTAGGATATTTGACATCGCTATCATAGCTTCTACCATTGTCCATTGGGAATGGAAGCTGTGACAGATTGTGTACGCCATCGCGTGCCTATTTTTGTTTAATCCCTATGATTATAATTTATTTGGTCAGCATTTTAGGCAACATTTAGATACCTTTTTGTATAATTATGAGGAATTATTATGATTTAATATTGTTTTCATTCAGTAAAGGTACCCTTTGTCTAATAAGGTGCCTTATGTAGACCACCCGGAGTTAAAATGATGCTGTACAGATCTCACTGCTGAGTTAAGCATGGTTAGATTATGCAGAAGTAGTACATGTTCTTGAATGTGGGGCTATCGTAAAGTGATCTATCATCTGATGTTGCACAGAACTCACTGCTGAGTTAAGCATGGTTAGATCATACAGAGGTAGTACATGTTCTTGAATGTGGGCTACCTTAAAGTGATCTGATGTTGTACAGAACTCACTGCTGAGTTAAGCATGGTTAGATCATACAGAAGTAGTACATGTTCTTGAATGTGAGCTACCATAAAGTGATATGATGTTGCCAGAACTCACTGATGAGTTAAGCATGGTTAGATCATGCAGAGATAGTACATGTTCTTGAATGTGAGCTACTTTAAAGTGACCTGATGTTGTACAGAACTCATGCTGAGTTAAGCATGGTTAGATCATACAGAGGCAGTACATGTTCTTAAACTGTG